TAACTAAGAAATAGAAATACCAAAATCTACTAACAATAGCAACATTATAACAAAAATAATCAGCAATTAAAAGTCGAATCAGTTAGACACATGCGTAAGCAAACATTAACAACCATCCTCCATACATATACGTCGTCGCGATCGAGTGATGCACGACCATGTACATTACATACATGCAAAGTTTTGGTTAGTATGACTCACTAAGTAAGAAACGATAACGTATATATTATAGTACATGCATGTGCGTATGCAAATTTTCCGGAATTTGGCTCTTTAGGCTATTAGCAATATATGTTCAAAAAATTGCTAGGCGCTCAGCGGACCTACGATCTAAACGTTTTACAAAAATACATAGTATATAAAATATGTATAGTAAAATATATATATATAAAACATAATTTATGAATAAAAAATTTATATTGTATTTATATTCATCATTTTATACCAAAGTATATAGGATATTACAATTTATATATAAAAAAATTTATATTATTTTATTATTATAATACTATAATATTTTAGGCATCATAAGCGTTAATCGCCATGGTCTATAGGGACCTAACGCCGCCTAGACGAACGTCTAGAATGCTTTTTAGAACACTGGCTATTAGTTTTTTTTTTGTCAACCAAAATATTTAATTAAATATGTCCCCATAATTGGTAATCCAAATGGATAAAGAGTTGTTTACAAAATAAAAATCTAAAACTTTAGAACGTGCAGAATGGGCTAAACAGTCCGCCTTAAGATTAAGAGTGCGAAAAATTAAAAATAACGAAAATTGGAGGAGTCAGAATACGAAACTCCTTGAACTTGAACTCTGGCTATTAGTTAGTAGCATGTAATTTGGGTCAAACTTTTTTGTTGTTAATTCAAACTTTGGTTAATGCATTTATACTTTTTTTAAAGAAAATTAATGCATTTACACTTACAAAATAAATGTTTCACTTCATTTATAATGTCACATGAATCTGTTTAACTTGGTTTATAAGTCGACGGAAAAACAATTAATTATATGAGTCCGATACGATGGAACCGGTCGTGAATATCGCATTTTATATAAACTGAAAATTAGGAGTAATAGATAGCTAGTTCGATTAGTGCAATTATACGCATAAAAACAGAACCCTACTGGATCTCTATAATATAAAATTGTCTTTTCTTTCGTTTTTCCACGACACTCAAAACTCCTAAAATAAATATATTAAAATTTTCAGCGTTT